CTCCCACTGCAGATGTACAGCTATGAGGCTGCAGAACAGGAGAACCTCAGGAGACCAAAGTTACAGGTTTCATGGTTATACGATGATTAATATCTCACAATATTCCCTATTATATGACAAATCTTCCCTTTTTGGGTTGTTGTCTGAGCAATTTTCCCATGAACAGAACCAAGCAGCATTTGATGTGAAATAATATGATGCACAAATCCCCCCCCTCCTCCCTTCATCACACCGAGCTATTGTATTCTGACTATCTGACTAGCGAGCAGCGGCTGCAGCTGATTGGCTGTATTCCTCCTGACAAAAGTCGATTGAAAAATCGACTTATCGAATGCAGGGGTGCCGAGGGGGCCACACACAACTTACATTTTGTCAGTCAGCAGGCCGAAATCCGAGCAGTGCATTGGCTTCATTATCTATAAAGGGTAAATGGTATATGAGAGGTCTGTGCCGCGGTCTGACGCTTGTAGTAACCTAACACCTCTTCAGCTGTGACCTCTTGTGACATCTGCATGCCGTGGTGTAGATGGCCCTTGCAGTGTAAAGACCGGACTCCGGTGAAATGATCTGCAGCGGGATGACAGATCAGACTCCGGTGAAATGATCTGCAGCGGGATGACAGATCAGACTCCGGTGAGATGATCTGCAGCCGAATGACAGAACAGACCTTGGTGAGATGATCTGCAGCCGAATGACAGAACAGACCTTGGTGAGATGATCTGCAGCCGAATGACAGAACAGACCTTGGTGAGATGATCTGCAGCAGGATGGCAAACAGATCAGACTCCGGTGAGATGATCTGCAGCCGAATGACAGAACAGACCTTGGTGAGATGATCTGCAGCCGAATGACAGAACAGACCTTGGTGAGATGATCTGCAGCCGAATGACAGAACAGACCTTGGTGAGATGATCTGCAGCAGGATGGCAGATCAGACTCCGGGGAAATGATCTGCAGCCGAATGACAGATCAGACTCCGGTGAAATGATCTGCAGCGGGAGGGGGAAGGGCTTCAGTGTCCTGCAGAGTTTTATCAGATCGAGGAGAGGCTCTCAGCCAATCACATCCTGGGATTTGTCGAAAGACATCTTCTAAGTGGACTTTAGAAAGAACATCAAGTTCTTCCCGGCTGAGTAATGTTTACCCTCTTACATGATTGTGACATTTACCTACAGCCGAGCAGGTAGAAGGGTCAACTGTGGCTGTGCAGGACTGAGGCCGTCGTGGCATGCTGACACTTGTAGTTCCTTGCCAGCTGGAAGGCCTGAGGCTGTCGTGGCATGCTGACACTTGTAGTTCCTTGCCAGCTGGAAGGCCTGAGGCTGTCGTGGCATGCTGACACTTGTAGTTCCTTGCCAGCTGGAAGGCCTGAGGCTGTCGTGGCATGCTGACACTTGTAGTTCCTTGCCAGCTGGAAGGCCTGAGGATGTGCAGGACTGAGCAAAGCGCTCGGCTCTTGCTTTACGCTCCATTGTACTGATGTCAGTGTCTCATCCATTTGATGTCTGGCAGTCACCGATCCCGGCCTCCCGCCCGCACTGTATTCCAGGCCGTTACTCCCACATGATTAGTGATTGAGGGCGGCTAAGCCGTGTTCCTCACTTGTTCATGAGATACCCAGATTTCCTGCAGTGTGTATGGC